AAAGGGGAGGTGGTCAGAGCAAACAATCTGGGTCCCAGGGATTTAATGGGAACGGAGTGGCCAAAGAGGAGGGTCAGCCAGCCCCTGACCACTGGAGCGGAAAGTGATTCCGTTGACTCTATCAGCATCTTGGGATCTTCGGGAAGGCTGGCCTCCAAGGGCCATCGAGTCAATAACCTTCTTTAAATCGCAGAGAAATGAGAAGGTGATTAGATGACGCAGCCACTCCCACAAAGCATTTTGCATTGGCTCCCAACCAAGAAGCTGCCTGGGGTTCAGCCTGAGGCAAGGCCTTTCTGCACAGAAATGGCCCCGAAAGTTTTATGGAAGCAGAAAACATCTGGGGGCATGGATTGTGCCTTTCTCTTTCCTCGCGCCCTCCTCCTCTGTGTCTTCTTTGTGCCTCTAAAACCCTTGTTCCGGTCCACCGGTCACTCGGAATGGTCAACAACCGTCACACTCCATGGCCGGCCATTGTGCCCTGGCCATTGTCCATCGGCAAAGGGTCCGTCCATCGGGAGCCGCTCTGCAGCCGCGCAAACAAGGAGCCGGCCCCGTCTTGCCGCTCGGACATCGCACATCAAAGTTAAGCAAACAGGGCCGGCCGGGGCCGCCTCCTCTCCTCTTAAGGAGCTCCTGAGGTCGGCTTGTCATGTCGCACATCAAAGTTTGTGCCACACACGAACTGGGCACACGGATCCCCCATCGCCTCGCCCGAGAGCGGATACGCGGCTTTTGTGCGAAGGGTTTAATCCGGTGTTTTCCCAAATCATTAGGCCCTTTTTTGGTGCTTATGAACTTGTGACTAAGCAAAGCGCCCCTGAGAGGTTGTAACATCAAAGCCCCATCCCGAGCGGCAGGCGGTCCCACGTTTCCGAAAATTGGATTTCTCCCTCTCCGGCCTTCGCTGCGCCGCTAAATAAAAAGGCTAATTCAATTTAGTTGTAGACCGAACGCATTGAAGAGTTGCCTTGAAAGGTTACAAGGAGGGAGGACATTGTCCTGGGAAGCTGCAAGGGCAGGTTGGAATGAAAAATTCAGGGCCCCAAAAGACAAAGGCCAATCTGCTCTGCAGGACCGATCTCGCAGAGACGTTGCAGCAAAATATGTTCGGAGCCTGGATCTAATTTTTTATCCCATTCCATTATTTATTTATTTATTCATTTATCTATACATCCCGCCTAGACTACTGCAACGCTCTCTACGTGGGGTTGCCTTTGAAGACGGCCCGGAAGCTCCAATTAGTCCAACGTTCGGCAGCCATGATACTAACAGGAGCGGAGCGCAGGGAGCATACAACTCCTCTGCTGCACCAGCTCCACTGGCTGCCGATTTGCTACCGGGCTCAATTCAAAGTGCTGGCGTTGGCCTTTAAAGCCCTAAACGGTTCTGGCCCAACCTACCTATCCGAACGTATCTCGGCCTATCAGCCCACCAGGACCCTAAGATCTTCTGGGGAGGCCCTGCTCTCTATCCCGCCTGCTTCACAGGTGCGGCTGGCAGGGACGAGAGACAGGGCCTTTTCTGTGGTGGCCCCTCGGCTATGGAACGCCCTTCCCATGGAGGTAAGATCAGCCCCCTCGCTGATGGTGTTCCGAAGAAGATTAAAAACCTGGATGTTCGAACAGGCATTTGGTTAATTCGGTGCAATGAATGTAATGATTAAAGGATTGGTAATATGGACGACGAAACTGGATCACGATTTTAGTCAGGAGATGCATTGGATTGTTATTGATGTGCGAATATTATGTATCATGCTTTTATGGTTTTAAATTGTATACTGTTGATTGTTGTATTTTGTTGTATGAGTCGCCGGCTAGGCGCGTTGAGTCGCCGGCTAGGCTGAGAAACAGCGGTATACAAGTATAGCAAATAAATAAATAAATAAATAATAAATAAAAAAATATTTATTTCGGTTACTTCTACCCCGCCCTTCTCACCCCGGAGGGGACTCAGGGCGGCTTACAAAGGCACAATTCGATGCCGGCATCAACATAACAGTAGAATAAAAACAATATAGCAGCAATTAAACAATTAACAATCAGTTTCTGCATTACAACAATAAAACCAATAAAACCGATTTCATCTCAGCGTTCGCCATCTCATAGTCCAAATTCCAATTCCACTTTGTCAGTCCTAGTCGTCTGATTGTCCTTATCTAGTTGTCAGATTGCCCGAAGGCCTGGTCCCACAACCACGTTTTTAATTTCCTCCTGAAGGAGAGGAGGGATGTTGATGACCTAATTTCCCCCGGAGTGAGTTCCACAGGTGAGGGGCCACCACTGAGAAGGCCCTGCTCCTCGTCCCCACCAACCTCACTTGTGATAGCGGTGGAGGTCGAGAGCAGGGCCTCCCCAGATGATCTCAAACTCCGGGGTGGGACGTAGAGGGAGATGCATTCAGACAGATACGCTGGACCGGAACCGTACAGAGTTTTGTAGGTCAAAACCAGCACCTTGAATTGTGCTCGGAACTGAACCGGCAGCCAGCGGAGCTGACACAGCAGAGGGGTGGTGTGCTCCCTGTATGACGCTCCGGTGAGTAATCTGGCTGCCGCTTGCTGGACCAGTTGAAGTTTCCAAACAGTCTTCAAGGGCAACCCCACGTAGAGTGCGTTGCAGTAATCTATTCGGGATGCAACAAGAGTGTGGACCACTGTGGTCAGATCAGACTTCCCAAGGTCCACAGCACAGAAAGAGCTGAGACTTGCCAAAGAGGTTAAAGATAATCAAAGGGGCTTCTTTGGTGTTGTCTGTAGCAAAAAGAGGCCAAGGGAATGGTAGAACTGCTGCGTACAGGTGATGGCAAAATGCGAACAGGGGACAGAGAAAAGGCAGAACTCCTCAGCACCTTCTTGGCCTCAGTCTCCTTTCTCCAAAAGGTTGACAGGGCACCACTTGAGGAGGATGGAGCAGAGGAGGCAGGTGGAGGAATGCAGCACAGAATAATAGGTCAAGGGGCAAGAGTACCTATCTACTTTCAACAAATGCAAGTCTTCAAGGCCAGATGGCAACACAATGGGAGAGATAAGCTAATACCCCTGAGGTACAGTGGAACGTCAGTGAAACCAAAGTGCTCTTCCAGCAGTCAAGGCTGAGGGAGAAAGGGCCTGAGGCTGTTAGGAATGGTGGGAGTTGAAGTCCAAATCACATGGAGGGATGGCTGAAGTTTGGCCATGCCTGCTCTAGTCCAATCCCCTGCCAATGCATACACTTACATGTGTGTTGCACCCATGCAGTCTATATTATTATTACTATTATGATATTATTATTTCATATAGCAGTCACCAGCCAATCCCTCTCCAATGCCAGAGATACAGCTTAATGGTGTCACATTAGAAAATGTTGGCCATTTCTGCTACCTTGGCAGCCACCTCTCCACCAAAGTCAACATCGACACCGAAATGCAACACCGCCTGAGCTCTTTGAGTGCAGCATTTTTCCGAATGAAGCAGAGAGTGTTTGAGGACTGGGACATCCGTTGGGACACCAAGGTGCTTGTTTATAAAGTGATTGTCCTTCCAACCCTGCTATACACCTGCAAAATGTGGACTGTCTACAGACATCAACATTGACACTGAAATACAACACGGCCTGAGCTCTGCGAGTGCAACATTTTTCCGAATGAAGCAGAGAGTGTTTGAGGACCGGGATATCCGTAGGGATACCAAGGTGCTTGTTTATAAAGCTATTGTCCTCCCAACCCTGTTATATGCCTACAAAATGTGGACTGTCTACAGACGTCACATGCAACTCCTGGAATGATTCCATCAACAATGCCTCCGGAAAATCCTGCAAATCTCATGGGAAGACAAGCGGACAAATGCTAGCGTGATGGAAGAAGCCAAGACCACCAGCACTGAAGCGATGGTCCTCCGCCATCAACTCCGCTGGACCGGCCACATTGTCCACATGCCCGACCACTGTATCCCAAAGCAGTTGCTCTACTCAAGAATGGAAAATGGAAAGTTGGAGGACAGGAAAAGAGATTTAAAGATGGGCTCAAAGCCAACCTTAAAAACTCTGGCATAGACACTGAGAACTGGGAAGCCCTGGTCTGTGAGCGCTCCAGTTAGAGGTCAGCTGTGACCAGCAGTGCTGTAGAGTTTGAAGAGGCATGAACAGAGAGTGAAAGAGAGAAATGTGCCAAGAGGAAGGCGCGACAAGCCAACCCCGACTGAGACCGCCTTCCACCTGGAAACCAATGCTCTCACTGCGGGAAAGATGCAGGTCAAGAATAGGGCTCCACAGTCACCTACGGACCCACCCTAGAAGATTATCCTACTCGGACAATGAGAGAACGCCTAAGTAAGTAAGTACAGTGGAACCTCTACTTAACAGAACCTCAACTTAAGGACATTTTGAGTTAAGAGCCATTGCTTGACCAGGATTTTGCTTTGACATATGAACAGCCATTTTAAGAATAAGTGTCAGCACAAGAGTACAGGGCTTTTGTGCTTCAAGGGAGTAGCCTCCAGGACTTGTGCTTTTGTCCGCTTTGGGAGATTGCTGTCTGCTTTGCTCTTGTCTGCTTTGAGAAACTTCCAAGTTAGTTGATTTTGTGTGGTTTTCATTCCTGGAGTCTTTGGTCAGCCCTCCACATCTGATGTGATTAGGGATACAAGACCCTTGCAAGGCTAAAAATCCGCCTGTAGCATAATTCTACCTGCTGAACTATTTGGGAATGTATGGAATTGCATTAAATGTCTGATGGAAGCAATCTCCTGTAAAGCCCTCATTTCCAAGGACCTGAAGGTTCTTGTAGGTTTGTTTTAAGTTGGATGTTTCTAACTCGGGGTGGCATGTGTTGTCCATATTGCTGTCTAGGGAAATATAACATTTTAGCAAAGCTTCTGGGATCTCAGATGCTTGGTTTTGATTAATATAATTACAGTTAGCCTTCTACATTTGCTAGCAAGGACCTCTTTGGAAGTGGGAAACCACACATTTTTTTTAAAAAAAGCTTATATCCACCTTAGAGGAAAAAAAGCAACAACTTACGTTGTGTTTCGGTTTATGGCTGCGACCATCAGAGCTGTCCAGCCCAATTTGTGTCGGGAGTTGACGCTGACCCCTTCCTTCAACAACCTGAGACCAAAGAAGAGAGAAAACATATGTCCATTAGCAAGATAAGTCTCCCATCCTCCTTTTCCTTCCCAATTCACTTACATCCACCTCAGAGGAAAAAAATGGCAAAAATTCCTCTGAGTATTCTTTGTCTAAAAAATCCTATGAAATGTATGGGGTTGCCATTATTATTATTATTATTATTATTATTATTATTATTACACTTTATTTGTACCCCGCTAGCATCTCCCAAAGGACTCGATGCGGCTTACAAAGGCCAAGGCCTCAACACAACAACAGCAAAACAATAACAATACAATGCAAAGCAAATTAAAAACATAAGCAATAACAAAAACAAAACATTACACTATTATGCAATAATAAGTTAACAGGTAATATGAAGGCACAAACACATACTAGATCTGACCTTGGTCCCTTTCCCCCAAATTCTGCAGGCAAAAATGTCCCGAATGTGGAGAAATATGCCTTTTTGGATTGTCACAGTTGAAATAGAGCCTATAATACAGCTGAACGTACCTGGGATTCTGGGAGTGGCAGTCCAAATGGAAGACCCTTCCCCAAGCCGAGATGGGTTATCAAGGAACCCCAGGTGCCGTCCACCATATTATAAGCTCTAGTTTACAGGCTCAACGTAAGTTCTCAGGTGACTTGAAAGCAAATCAATAATCCAATTAACCAGTTTCTAAAGCTATAGTGAATCCATAAAGCCTGGCATTGTCACACCTTCAACTCCCAGAATTCCTGACAATTGAACAACCTCATTAGAGCTTCTGGGAGATGAAGGCCCAAACAGCTGGAGAGCCACAGTTTGGGGATACTTGCATAAAGCCTTGATGAATCCAAGGCTGGAGTTAAAATGGTTGGAAGAAACATTCACAACCTTAGATATGCAGACGATTACTTACTTACTTACTTACTTACTTACTTAGCCGATCCCTCGTTTTCCGAGGATGATTGTCTTCCAGTGTTCTTGTGGGTCCGTATGTGGTTGTGGAGCCCTATTCTTGCTCTGCATCTTCTTCCGCAGTGAGGGCATTGGTTTCCAGGTGGAAGGCAGTCTCGGTCGGGGTTGGCTTGACGCGCCTTCCTCTTGGCACGCTTCTCCCTTTCGCCCATTCGTGCCTCTTCAAATTCTGCAGCACTGCTGGTCACAGCTGACCTCAGCTGGAGCGCTCAAGGGCCAGGGCTTCCCAGTTCTCAGTGTCTATGCCAGAGTTTTTAAGGTTGGCTTTGAGCCCATCTTTAAATCTCTTTTCCTGTCCACCAACATTCTGTTTTTCATTCTTGAGTTCGGAGTAGAGCAACTGCTTTGGGAGACGGTGGTCAGGCATCCAGACAACGTGGCCGGTCCAGCGGAGTTGATGGTGGAGGACCATCGCTTCAATGCTGGTGGTCTTTGCTTCTTCCAGCACGCTGACGTTTGTCCGCCTGTCTTCCCAAGAGATTTGCAGGATTTTCCGGAGGCAGCGCTGATGGAATCGTTCCAGGAGTTGCATGTGACGTCTGTAGACAGTCCACGTCTCACAGGCATATAGCAGGGTTGGGAGGACAATAGCTCTATAAACAAGCACCTTGGTATCCCTACGGATGTCCCGGTCCTCAAACACTCTCTGCTTCATTCGGAAAAATGCTGCGCTCGCAGAGCTCAGGCGGTGTTGTATTTCGGTGTATTTCAAAATATGCAGACGATACCACTTTGATGGCTGAAAGCGAGGAGGAACTGAGGAGCCTTATGGCCAAGGTGAAAGAAGAAAGTGCAAAAACTGGGTTGCAGTGAAACATAAAAAAAACCCAAGATGATAGCAACCAGACTGATTGATAACTGGCAGATAGAGGGTCAAAACATGGAGAGAGCAACAGACTTTGTATTTCTAGGTGCAAATATTACTGCAGACGCAAACTGCAGCCAGGAAATCAGGAGATGCTTACTTCTTAGTAGGAGAGCAATGCCCAATCTCGATAAAATAATTAAGAGTAGAGACATCACACTGGCAATGAAGATACGCATAGTTAAAGCAATAGTATTCCCCATAGTAATCTATGGATGCAAGAGCTGGGCCATAACATAGGGAAGGTTGAGCAAGGGAAGAGAGATGCTTTTGAACTGAAGGAAAATCCTGAGAGTGCCTTGGACCACAAGAAGATCCAATCAGTCCATCCTCCAGGAAAGAAAGCCCGACTGCTCATTGGAGGGAAGGAGATGAGAGGCAAAGATGAAGTCCTTTGGCCACATCATAAGACAGGAAAGCTTGGAGAAGGCAATGATGCTGGGGAAAATGGAAGGAAAAAAGGAAGAGGGGCCGACCAAGGGCAAGATGGATGGATGGTATCCTTGAAGTGACTGGATTGACTTTGAAGGAGATGGGGGTTCTCCACTGATGGAGTGTACTGCTCCTGCTCACCGCTGCTAAGTTAGTTTTGAGACCTAGCGATAAAACTGTTGAGTTCTCCTGTCCTCAGGTCTTGCAAATTCAGGAATTCCATGGCTTCCATGACATAGTCTCTCCACATGGAATGCAGTCTTTATCTTTGTTTGGACAGGTGTACCTGTCTGAACATATCTCCTTCTACGTTCCACCTTGAAATTTAAGATCTGGGCAAGCTCTGCTCTCGGCCCTGCCTCTGTCACAAACGTGCTTGGCAGGGACGAGGGACAGGGCCTTCTCGGTGGTGGCCCCTCGCCTGTGGAATGCACTCCCCGGGGAAATTAGGACATCAACATCCCTCCTTTCCTTCAGGAAGAAGCTAAAAACCTGGATGTGGGACCAGGCCTTCGGGTAAGCTGACATGACAATAGACTATGGACAAGCTTGATGGATTCTCCGATCTCAGAATCTCAGCTAGATAAGGCCATATGGCTGTTATATATAAAGATATTTTAATTGAATTGGATGTAATGTTTTGAATTGTATGCAATTATTGGTTTTATTATATATTGTTATGTACTCATGTAGGCATTGAATCGTGCCGGCTGGAAGCTGCCCTGAGTCGTCGTCGTCCCCCCCGGGGGGGGGGGGGGTGAGAAGGCCGGGGTACAAATATCTGAAAATAATAATAATAATAATAATAATAATAATAATAATGCTGACTTCTACCATTCCAAGCATCATTGTTTTTTTTTTTTGAGAGATTCCTATTTTCCCATGATGTGCCCAAAAGAGGACAAGCCTAGTTGAGTCCTTTTGGTTTCCAGGGAGAGTCCAGGCTTGATTTGTTTTTGGGGCCCATTTATTGTCTTTTTTAGCAATCCACAGTAGTCTTTTTCAGCCCCACAATTGGGCCTGCCAATTTGGCAGGCCCAAACCCAGCACCTCAATCCAATGGCTGATACCAAATGAGAGACTCCCTCCTGGGCACACAGAGGACTGGGCGACCTGGAAGGCACTGAACAGACTGCGCTCTGGCACCACGAGATGCAGAGCCAACCTTCAGAAATGGGGCTACAAAGTGGAATCCTCGACATGCGAGTGTGGAGAGGAGCAAACCACTGACCACCTGCTGCAATGCACCCTGAGCCCTGCACATGTCGTGGCTTGTTTCTTCCTACTTAAGCCTTTCAAGTCCCCTTCTTCTGCTTCCTTGACTGCTGATTCCATTCTGATTCACGTCTGAGCCAAGGGAAAGGGAAATCCAGACATATTTAGTGAAAGAGGCCAGAAGGAACATGGAGGAAGGGAAGGCATTCTCCTTCTGGTTTCTGGGTCACGGCCAGATGCCGGGAGCCTGTCCTCCCAAAAGATCCAAATGTTTCCGATTCTCTGCTGCAGGTTGCTTTGAGGACCAAACGTGTTTGTTAAAAAAAAACTTCCTCCAAAGGAGTTAAGTGACAGGTAGCCCCAGGCCTTTTGGAGAAGGCCTGATCAGATGTCGGCAAGGCAGATGGGGCTGTTTACAGCACAATCAACGCCGGGAGGGTGGACGTGGTTTGCCAGACGTTGTACGTCACTTGCTGAAGTGTGACCAGGCACCTCTTTCCTCCATTTGGAAGCTCTCAAACGCCATGGACCAGAACTGTCTGCAGCAGGCATGGGCAAACTTTGGCCCTCCGGGTGTTTTGGACTTCAACTCCCACAATTTCTAACAGCCTAACTGTAGAGGAGAGTTCAGTAGACTCTCCTCTACAGTTCCATTTTAGCAAGAAGCCTTAGCATTGAACGGTTGTGTTATTAAAGTGCGAAGTATGGAACCCTGCGCAGACGGTCGGTCAATGTAAAATGAAAAGTAATGCCTCCACATTCACAACTCTTCAACAGATGGCAGTACTGGTATGCGGCAAGTACTGGCTTGTTCAGTAGACTCTCCTCTACAGTTCCAATTTGGAGGGAAGCCTTAGCATTGAACGTTTGTGTTGTTAAAATTCTAAGTATGGAACCCTCATGGGCCATCCAGTCCAACCCCATTCTGCCAAGAAGCAGGAATATTGCATTCAAATCACCCCTGACCGATGACCATCCAGCCTCTGCTTAAAAGCTTCCAAAGAAGGAGCCTCCACCACACTCCGGGGCAGAGAGTTCCACTGCTGAACGGCTCTCACAGTCAGGAAGTTCTTCCTAATGTTCAGATGGAATCTCCTCTCTTGTAGTTTGAAGCCATTGTTCTGCGTCCTAGTCTCCAAGGAAGCAGAAAACAAGCTTGCTCCCTCCTCCCTTTGGCTTCTTCTCACATATTTATACATGGCCCTCATCATATCTCCTCTCAGCCTTCTCTTCTTCAGGCTAAACATGCCCAGTTCCCTAAGCCGCTCCTCATAGGGCTTGTTCTCCAGACCCTTGATCATTTTAGTCGCTCTCCTCTGGACACATTCCAGCTTGTCAATATCTCTCTTTTAATCACCACAAATCGATTTAATCACCACAAATCGTTAAAGTGACGACCATTGTTCAGCTCCTAGACAACCAAATGTGTTTTCCAAGGGGGCATTCTCTTTCCTTCCTTCCTTCACTTTCACCGCTTCTGTCATTTTTCCTTCTATTCTTCCCTTCCCAAATCTCTTATCTGGTGTGTCTACTTACTTCCTACTTCCTGTTTCCTCTTCTTTTTTCAGAGTTGCCTTATTTCTCTCCCTCTTTCTCCTTCCTTCATCCTTCGCTCTAGTCTCAAGCTCTGTTCCTCTGACCGTCTCAGCTGATTCTCTTTCCGCCTCGCACCTAGCAGCCTCTTCTCTCCCCTTCGCTCTCCTCTTTCACTCTGTTCCTTCGCTCTTTCGCTTGCCTCGCTCCTCGCAACCTCTTCTCTTCCCTTCACTCTCCTCTCACGCTGTTGCTTTCCTCATTCACCTCGCGCGGAGGCCATTGGCGAGAGCGCGAGGCAGGCGAAGGGGGCTTCTGCGACGCCAGGCCTCGCACGGAGTCCTCCTCGCCTGCCTTGCACCCTCGTCCATGGCGAGAGAGCGAGGCAGACAAGACGGGCTTCGCGTGAGACCTCACTTGGCCACGCCCTTGGGGCGGGGCCAACGAGGCGGCCTCGCGACCCCGCCGAAATGCCCAGGCGACCCCCCTGGGGGTCGCGACTCCCAGGTTGAGAACCGCTGTTCTAAGGTCTTGGGCAAATGTCACATGGCCAGTAAGGGTCTCTTACATTAAGGCCAGCTCTAATATCCAGACTTGGTGGTTCCTGGGTGGTGGTTCATGGGTAGGGGAAGGGGTGGGTGGGAATGATGGGAGATGTCTGACCAGACGTGTCGTGTGAGGGTTTCTGACGCCTGCACACAGAGACAACAGGTACATTGCTCCAGGCTCTTTCCAAGAACGGAGGCACAAACCGCGCAAAGCCACCGCCACAGCATCCAGGAGCACCACCACTCCCATCGACATTTCAATTAGGGGCATTTTGTAAAAATCAGCACATTGGGCTCAGGCAACTTAGCAGCTTTGAAAAACAGCTGAACTTTATGTTTGGGGCACTTGCGATTATCATTAATATATCTATCCCCAGCCTGATTTAATCACCACAAATCGATAAAGTGACGACCATTGTTCAGCTCCTAGACAACCAAATGTCTTTTCCAAGGGGGCATTCTATTGCTAATTAAATAGAAAGAACCCCTGATCAATCTTTTAAGAATGTTGGCTTGGATTTTAACCAAGGAAGGCCAGAAGAGCTCCGTTCAATGGCTTCCAAAGAGCTGAGCATTCATGAAAGGGGACGCGTGCGCACAGGTGGCTTAGCATCTGATCCAGAGATAAAAGCCAGATATTCTTCTTCTTACTGTTATTAATAATTATAATCGCCCAATTAGAAGGTACAACAACAACAACAACAAGTTTTGAAGCAAAACTTAATCTTTGTAAAGACTACACAGAGAAGCCATTGAAATCCACAAGAAGCATGGGGACAATTTCAACAGAAAGGAGGAAACCATGAAAATTGAACACAATCTGGGTTGTTGTAGGTTTTTCCGGGCTATAGGGCCATGTTCTAGAGGCATTTTCTCCTGACGTTTCGCCTGCATCTATGGCAAGCATCCTCAGAGGTAGTGAGGTCTGTTGGAACTAGGAAAAAGGGTTTATATATATGTGGAATGACCAGGGTGAGACAAAGGAGTTTTGTCTGCTGGAGCTAGGTGTGAATGTTTCAACTGACCACCTTGATTAGCATTTAGCCATTGACAATACATTGAACACAATCTGGCTCCCAGTATTAAAAAGCTCTAAAATTACAACAGCAAAACAACAGAGAGGAAACAATCTGGGACATCTAATAATCACCTCTCAACAAAAGATTGCCCCAGGCACAGCCAGGCTATCAAATGCTAATCAAGGTGGTCAGTTGAAACATTCACACCTTTCTCCAACAGACAAGAGTTCTTTGTCCCACCCTGGCCATTCCACAGATATATAAACCCATTTTGCTAGTTCCAACAGACGTCACTACCTCTGAGGATGCTTGCCATAGATGCAGGCGAAACGTCAGGAGAGAATGCCTCTAGAACATGGCCATATAGCCTGAAAAAACCTACAACAACCCAGTGATTCTGGCCATGAAAGCCTTCGACAATACAAATGTAATGTTCGTTTGTGGGATTAACATAACTCAAAAACCACTGGACGAATTGACACCAAATTTGGACACACTACACCTATCAGGTCCATAAGTGACCATCACTCATAAAAACACTAAAAAACACAGCTGGAATCACAACCCAGTGATTGCAGCCATGAAAGCCTTCAACAATACATTGTCTGTGCCCTAGTTCCACATATTGATAGCACAATGACAGATCTGGATGGAGGAAACATTCCCTGACTCTGGAAGGGACATGTTGGTGCCTTTTCTCCCGATATTGGGAGAAAGCCAGGATAAAAAAGTAAATAAATATTTGGAATTTTTGGAAAAAAGGGGCCGGAGACCCCATCCCTCCTCATTTTGAGTGAAAGCACAGGACGTCAATCTGTCCCTTGTCTTTGGGCATCTCCCGTTGAAGCGAGCGTCTCTGCAAAGGCACGCTGCACCCTCCCCACCTCCTGGACCCCCCCCCCCCCCACTCCACCTAGAGACATATGGGGCTGCTATTCAGGCCTCGGATCCCATGGGTTCTGGGTGAGCGGCTCCGGGTCGCTTGGGCTTAAAAGCCAGGGCCCCCCTCTGTCCCCAAAGGGCATGTTTGAGTTTGTGCTCAAGGCAGAAGCCTGGCCTTCGAATGGCAGGAGGTGGAGGAAGAGGAAACGGGGAAACTTGAACTTTGGGCCTCAACAAAGGATCCTGTCCCCAGATGCTGTTTGGCCTCTTTGCTTTTCAAACCCCAGGCCTTAAGGCTGTGGAAATTTCGGAATCGCAGGACTGTAAGGCTGGAAAGAGCCCTGGAGCACGTCTAGTCCAACCTGTTGCCAGAAAGGAATAGAAGCCATGGCTCTAGAGAAGAACCTAAGTTTTGTAGACAAGCAAAACATGGAGAATTTATTTAGCAAAATACAGATTGCACTTATGGCGCTTCCCATATGAAATGAGAGGCACTCTCAAAATGAAAATGAACAAAATCTGACTACCAGTATTTTAAAAAACTCTAAAATTATAACAGTAAATAAAGAACAAAATTCCAACACAGGGGAGCTCCAGACAAGAAACAATCAGGGACAGCTAATCACCTCTCAACAAAAGATTCCTCCAGGTACTAACAAGCCACACCAAAAAACTGTCAGGCCATCAAATGCTAACCAAGGTGGCCAGTTGAAATACTCACACCTACCTCCAACAGATAAGAGTTCTTTCTCCCACCCTGGGCCTTCAAAATGTGAACTCCACCAGTGTTCACATTTGGGCATACTGAGTATTCGTGCCAAATTTGGTCCAGATCCATCATTGTTTGAGTTCACAGTGGTCTCTGGATATAAGTGAACTACAACTCCAAATCTCAAGTTCAATGCCCACCAAACCCTTCCAGTATTTTCTGTTGGTCATGGGAGTCCTGTCTGGGAACTCCACCAGTGTCCACATTTGGGCATACTGAGTATTCATGTCAAGTTTGGTCCAGATCTATCATTGTTTGAGTTCACAGTGCTCTCTGGATATAAGTGAACTACAACTCCAAAACTCAAGTTCAATGCCCACCAAACCCTTCCAGTATTTTCTGTTGGTCATGGGAGTCCTGTCTGTGAACTCCACCAGTGTTCACATTTGGGCATACTGAGTATTCATGTCAAGTTTGGTCCAGATCCATCATTGTTTGAGTCCACAGTGCCCTCTGGATGTAGGTGAACTACAACTCCAAACCTCAAGTTCAATGCCCACCAAACCCTTCCAGTATTTTCTGTTGGTCAAGGGAGTCCTGTGTGCCAAGTTTGGTTCAGTTCCATCGTTGGTGGAGTTCGGAATGCTCTTTGATTGTAGGTGAACTATAAATCCCAGCAACGACAACTCCCAAATGACAAAATCAAGCTGGAGCTAACAGTGGGAACTCACCCCACTCCCTGGATTTGACCACCGACCTTTCGGTCAGCAAGTTTAGCAGCTCAGCGGTTTAACCCGCTGTGCCAAGAGTCAATAAAGCAGAGTCAATAAAGAAAGCGAAGGACAGCAACCTCACAGGGCCAAATATGGCTTGAATGGAACACCAAAAGGAAGGCTCACCTGTCTACCTCTGAGATGTTGTTGATCCGGGCAGCTTCAAGCAGGGAGTCTTCTGCAAAAGACCAAAGGGAGAGGTGTCTGTGAATAAGAAGCCTGGCATGATGCGCCGTAATATCAAAGCAAGGACTGGGCTCACAACCCCAGTCCCAAGGACAAGCTGTCCCAAGTTACAAACATCTGACTTACAAACAACTCCTAGTTAAGAACGGGGCTGAGAGTGAGAGAAATCTATCCTACTGGAGGGAAATCCACTCCTGGAAGAGTTGATATCGCGGGGGGGGGGGGGGGAAGGGTTTCCATTTTCTCACCAATTCCTTGATCCACAACAAGCCAAATGTTCCAAAATCTCATTCTCACAGGGACAGAAAATGAGGGGGAATCTTCTGAACAGGGGCACAGGGAGCAAGGGAAACTCCACGTCTAGACTTAATGTCAGGGGAAACCTTTACTTTTTACATATGGCTGGAATTACACTTAAAATGCACCTGTTCCAAGTTACATACAAATTCAACTTAAGAACAACCCTACCTAACCTCTCTTGTTCGTCACTTAGGAACTGCATATACCTGCTTCAGACCCAGATCTGAGTGCAATGCCTCTTCCCTACTCTAACGTCCACCATAGATTTGGGTCTTCTGGAGGATGTTTTTTCTGGTCAGAGGCACAACCAACCAGCAGCCTATTTCCTCAGATGTGCCCAAATTGTGGGGACTGGCTGGCCAGAATAAATTCAATTCAATGGCTGAAGGGACAGAAGGGAAAGAGAGTTTCATCTATGCTGATGATCGTGCCATTACTGCTCAAGCAGGGAGCTTTGAGATGGTAGAACAGAAGCTCTCCGAAGCTCTAGGTCAGGGGTAGGGAACCTTTGGCCCTCCAGCTGTGGTGGACTTCAACTCCCACAATTCCTTGAGGCTCGGCAGTGGGCCAAGGTAAGCCTTTGGGGCGAATGCCGAGCCTCAAGGAATTGTGGGAGTTGAAGTCCACCACAGCTGGAGGGCCAAAGGTTCCCTACCCCTGCTCTAGGTGCTCTTACTGCCTATGACAGGGAAAACCAGCTGATCCCTGACCCATCCAAAACACAGACATGTGCCTTTCACCTTCAAGAACAGACAAGCATCCCGAGCTCTGAGGATCACCTGGGAAGGAATCCCACTGGAGCATTGCAGCGCACCCAAATACCTGGGAGTCACTCTGGACCGTGCTCTTACCTACAAGAAGCACTGCCTGAACATCACGCAAAAAGTGGGTGCTAGAAACAATATCATACGAAAGCTGACTGGCACAACCTGGGGATCACAACCAGACACGGTGAAGACATCCGCCCTTGCGCTATGCTACTCTGCTGCTGAGTATGCATGCCCAGTGTGGAACACATCTCACCACACTAAAACAGTGGATGTGGCTCTTAATGAGACATGCCGCATTATCACGGGGTGTCTGAGCCCTACACCACTGGAGAAATTACACTGCTTAGCCGGTATTGCACCACCTGACATCCACCGGGAAGTAGCAGCCAATAGTGAAAGGACCAAGGCAGAGACATCTCCAGCTCATCCCTTGTTTTGGTATCAGCCAGCACGTCAATGACTTAAATCAAGAAATAGCTTTCTTACATCTAGAGACACTCGCCGGAGCACCTCAGCAAGCGAGAGTCCAAAAATGGCAGGCTCATACCCAGCACCTCAATCCAATGGCTGATACCAAATGAGAGACTCCCCCCTGGGCACACAGAAAACTGGGCAACTTGGAAGGTGCTGAACAGAATGCGCTCTGGCACCACGAGATGCAGAGGCAACCTTAAGAAATGGGGCCACAAAGTGGAATCCACGACATGCGAGTGTGGAGAAGAGCAAACCACTGACCACCTGCTGCAATGCACCTGAGCCCTGCCACATGCACAATGGAGGACCTTCTTGCAGCAACACCAGAGGCACTCCAAGTGGACAGAGACTGGTCAAAGGACATTTAATCAACTACCAAACTTACAATGTATTTTGCTTTTTTGTTTTTGCTTTGTTTTGTTAGAAATGTAATATAATCGACTGGTTGCACTGTCACAATAAATAAATAAATGGCTGAATAAACTGCCTGAGTTTAAAAGAGCATCAAAGAGCAAACTCTTCCTGCAGGCTTAATCACATGAATTTTTAAATGGATTGTTTTAATAGATATGCTTTTTTATTTTTATGCTCCGTTTAACTGATTATGTAATTGTATTCATGTCTTTAGCAGTGTTGTGCATCCATCTGTTGCTGTATTTGAGTCTTTTTCTTCCTACCTTAATCCATAGGCAGATATTATTATTATTATTATTATTATTATTGGATACACAACAAGATTGCTCCACAGCAAACAAGATCATTATTGTTGTTGTTGTTATTGGATATACCCTATATCTCCAGTTAGGGGGACTTTTTTTTTGGTCGTGTCAGGAGCGACTTGAGAAACTGCAAGTCGCTTCTGGTGTGAGAGAATTGGCCATCTGCAAGGACGTTGCCCAGGGGACGCCTGGATGATTTGATGTTTTATCATCCTTGTGGGAGGCTTCTCTCATGTCCCCGCATGAGGAGCTGGAGCTGACATGATGAATAGAATAGAATTAAAGAATGTATAAGCAGATATTATTATTATTGGATACATAACAAGATTGCTACACACCAAACAAGATCACTGTTGTTGTTGTTGTTCTTAATGGCTATACCCTAAATCTCCAGTTGGGGGGACATGGTGAATAGAATAGAATTAAAGAATCCATAGGCAGATATTATTATTATTATTACATTATTATTATTACGGTATTATTATTATTATTATTATTAAATACACAACAAGATTGCTAAACAGCAAATAAGATCACTATTGTTGTTGTTGTTGTTGGCTATACCATAAATCTCCAGTTGGGGGGACATAGTGAATAGAATACAATTAAAGAATCCACAGGCAGATATTATTATTATTATTATTATTATTATTATTATTATTATTATTGGATACACAACAAGATTGCTACACAGCAAACAAGATCACTGTTGCTGTTGTTGTTACTGGCTATACCCTAAATCTCCAGTTGGGGGGACATGGTGAATAGAATAGAATTAAAGAATCCATAGGCAGATATTATTATTATTATTACATTATTATTATTACGGTATTATTATTATTATTATTATTATTATTATTATTATTATTATTATTGGATACACAACAAGATTGCTACACAGCAAACAAGATCACTGTTGCTGTTGTTGTTACTGGCTATACCCTAAATCTCCAGTTGGGGGGACATGGTGAATAGAATAGAATTAAAGAATCCATAGGCAGATATTATTATTATTATTAAATACACAAAAAGATTGCTAAACAGCAAATAAGATCACTATTGTTGTTGTTGTTGTTGGCTATACCATAAATCTCCAGTTGGGGGGACATAGTGAATAGAATACAATTAAAGAATCCACAGGCAGATATTATTATTATTATTATTATTATTATTATTATTATTATTATTGGATACACAACAAGATTGCTACACAGCAAACAAGATCACTGTTGCTGTTGTTGTTATTGGCTATACCCTAAATCTCCAGTTGGGGGGACATGGTGAATAGAATAGAATTAAAGAATCCATAGGCAGATATTATTATTATTGGATACACAACAAGATTGCTACACAGCAAACAAGATCACTATTGTTATTGTTACTGGATAAACAACAAGATTGCTACACAGCAAACAAGATCACTATTGTTATTGTTACTGGATAAACAACAAGATTGCTACACAGCAAACAAGATCACTATTGTTGTTATTATTGTTGTTGTTGTTAATAATAATAACAACAATAACAACAATAGTGATCTTGTTTGCTGTGTAGCAATCTTGTTGTTTATCCAACAACAATAGTGATCTTGTTTGCTGTGGACTCATCTTGTTGTGTATCCAATAATAATAATAATAATAATAATAACAATAACAATAATAATAATAATAATAATAATAATAATAATATTGGCTATCTTCTAAATCTCCAGTTGGGGGGACATGGTGAATACTATTCTATCTTAGAGTTGGAAGAGACCCCAAAAGCCCTCCATTCCAACCCCCTTCTGCCTTAAAGGAAGACACTATCCAATCCCTCCTGACAGATGGCCATCCAGCCTATGCATTAAAAATATCAAATGTGAAAGACAGGCAGCATCGCAAGGCCTTCCTGCAGGAGTGAATGCCTTTTCAAGTCCCTGGGTGCATAGAATGAATGCAGTCTGATACCACTTTTAAGGGCTCGATGCTAGGAAATACTGGGAGTTGAAGTTTGGGGATGCAGAACCA